ATGGGAGAAATAGGAATATCACAAAAAATAGAAATTCTCTAAAAGACAATAAATTCTTAACATGTAAGGTGTATTTGGCTTAAAATATTTTAAAGGAAATGGAACTGCAGTTCAGAATGGAAGTCTCCTTCCAATCATTCTTCTTTCCTACCCGTCAGGCCAGAGATGACCCCAGCCAAGTCAGCAGACACTGAGTCAGGAGCCCTCCACCATTCCTGTAGCCAAACCAGCAAGAACCATAGTGGAAACAAAAAGCCAGAAACTGCAAACATTGCAGGATGAGAAAAGGAAATCTCATCTCTGTAGTGAGAAGTAGTATGTTCCTGGGAATGCAAGTGGTGAAGAATAAAGGATGGAGAGGAAGGTAGTAGAGAAAGAAAGTAAAAGTAAACATAAATAAACAGACCTGGGGAATCAGGAAAACTACAAAGGTCACACCCAAAGGCCTCACAGTGAGAACTCCCTCCCTGACGCTATCAGGTGATGATACCAGATGACATAAACAGGGGAAACATTCAGGACACAGCCAGTCCTGCAGCAACTTCATTACAGACTATGAAGCCACAAGGAACCTAGTGGAGACCTGGAGTCAGTGGCCCAGTCAGAGAGAGACTATGATGTCAGTATCTTGTAATGTACACCAAAGGAGAGAAGAGGCAGAGATCTAATGGGTAATTTTACCCATTAGATGTCACAGATCTAATGGGTAATTTTTATGTAATGTATACACCTTAGCTCAGCTTCCAAAGAATGCCAGTTACACACCCAGTTTCAGGGTGTTAAGGCATGTGCAAGGCACTAAATAAAGACCATTGAAAACCTGGCTCCTTATATGTACCCAATTTCTGAGTAAGGGCCCCACTAAGTATGATTGTTTTCTACGTGCCGATATCCAAATTAAAGGGATGAAATCACATCACACCACTTTGGGTAGAAAATATGAATTGCCAATCCAGTATCTGTTACCCCTCCACTTTTTAAAACAGTTTTACTGAAGTATAAACAACATAAAGTAAACTGTACATATTTAAAGTATACCATTTGATAAGTTTGGGTATTGAATTATACCCACGAAACCATCACCATAATCAGGAGAGTGAACATATCCATCATTCCCCAATCTATCCCCCTGCCCCTTTGTAATTCCTCCCTCCCACCCAACTCTCTCTGTAGGCAACCACTGACTTACTTTCAGTCATTAGGGATAAGTTTGCATTGTCTAGAGTTTTATATAAATGGGATCGCAGGGCATGTAGTTTGAACTCTTTCTCTCAGCATAACTATTTTGAGATTTGTCTAGCTTTTTTATATATCAATGATTCACTCCTTTTCATTACAGAGTAGTATTTCATTGTTAGGGTGAACCACATTTATTTATCGGTTCCCCAAAAGATGGACATTTGGGTTGTTTCCAGTTTTGATCTATCACAAATATAGCTATGAAGATTCACTTTATTTTTGCCAAAAATAAAGCAAACAATCACATCCCTGACTTTGTTCTAAACATCGACATTACCAGTTGGGGCTGCATGATAACTCCATAGTTCTTAGGTGCTTTTGCCATAATGGGACCTTTCCTCCATTTAAATAATAAAATTAAAATTATATTTTACAACTGCACTGTTAAACACAATCCTGACAATTTATTATTGTACACTCATATTTACCGTATTCACTTTTTCTTCTGATTTTAAAAGAAATTAAATGAAAAACATTTTCGTAAGTCCCTAAAAGTATGGTGAGCTCTAGGTGCCTGCTATGCCTAATGGATAAGTTGACCCTGTGCCCAGATAAAAGTACTTTTTTTTTTTGAAACGGAGTCTCACTCTGTTTCCAGGCTGGAGTGCAGTGGCGCGATCTCAGCTTACTGCAACCTCCACCTCCCAGGTTCAAGCGATTCTTCTTCCTCAGCCACCTGAGTAGCTGGGACTACAGGCACGTACCACCACGCCCAGCTAATTTTTGTATTTTTAGTAGAGACAAGGTTTCACAATGTTGGCCACGATGGTCTCGATGTCTTGACTTTGTTATCCACCTGCCTCGGCCTCCCAAAGTGTTTGGATAACAGGTCTGAGCCACCATGCCCGGCCCTAAAAGTGCTCTTTACCAGACTCTCTTATGCAAAGGGTAGCCTACAACATCAGCTCAGAGTTCCTAAGAATTCTGGAAGGGATGATTCTTCACTCTTCTTTATTCTTTCTGCCTAGATTTAAGGATGTGAAATCCATAGATTCAGCAGCTATCTTGCAACCATGAAGTGACGATGTCTTCTTACTAAGGATGGTAGAGCAGAATACAGAAAAAGATTTTTCCTAATGGTATTTTGGGCTGCAACATTACACAAGTGTCTTGTTAGATGAGAAAAAAAAATCCTACTTGTTTAAGCTAATGGGGGTTTGGTTTTCTGTTATGAGCAAGTAGCTTCTCTCCTAAGCCATTCATTGCTGCAGGACCTCAGCACTGTTTTGTGGGTTAGACACAATGTCAGCACATCATACAAATCGGTCCTAAGCATCAGGAAGCAGCCTAAGGACCTGGAAACTTATGTAGTAACCACAGCACAGAGGATGAGTATAAGACTTAATAATTCTCCAAGAATGAATGCAGTGCGGAACTTCTGCTCAACCTCCCAGGTGTGTCTGCAAAGCAGGAGGACTGGCAGCAGCCATGCTGGCTGTCACAAGGACATGGAAGTGCTCACTCTATAATGAGACAGAACCTTGAGATCCAGGCATTTGCTGCATACACTTGGCCAATCCCGCACTGTTTACAGCTGCTGGGAAATCCTGAGGGGAAGAGTACAATAAGAAAGAGAATTGACTCAATCTTTTCAGGGATATGTAGCTCTGGGATAGACCCTTCAAAGACGGGGTAACAGACCGCCTTCTATTGCTCCAGGTTCCTGCAGGATGAACCCCCTGTGGAAGAGGGCCAGGGCACAAGCTTGAGGCAGTCCCTAATCTTGCTGTACTGGAATTCTAGTGGGCGGCAGGCAGGTGTCCCTGGATCCCTGGGCTGTGCTGAATTCCTTAGTAATCCTAGAGTAGCAGAAGAAAACTCAACCATGCAAAATAAAAACTGTAACAAAAAAGTTTCTTGATGGCACTTGTAGGGCAAAGACGAAAAGGTTGAATGTGTAGAGAACAGCAGTTTCTACAAGTCTAATATGAATAAGTCAGACAAGTTATTTTTGGTAAAAGTCTTTATGAGAGGCCCTACTCTACTGGGACTGAAGATGAGGGTAATATCTTTTACATATTCCTTTTCATTTTTATTTTTAATTTTTTACATATTCAGCAAACACCTATTAAGTACTAGGTTTGTAAAACACCATGAGAAAGTCAGTGACCTGGCAGGACAAATTAGACAAAACCAAAGACAAAATAGGCCAACAAACTAACAATAGCCATAATGAAAACATAATGAGGCATGGGAGGCACTGTGAGTATTTAGATTCCTAAACTTGTCTGCATATTGAAATCTCCTGAAAATCTTTTAAAAATTCAACCACAATCTCTGGGATAGGACCAGCAGGTTTTGAAGCTCCCCAGGGGATTTTAGTGTGCAGACAGGTTTGGGAACCACTGATAGAAGGGAGCTCTTGTTTATCCAAAAACAATTCAGGAATATTTTGAGCTGAGCCTTGAAATCATGCTACTCGAAGTGGGGTCCCTGGGAGCTTGTTAGAAAAGTAGAAACTTGGGACCCACCCCTGAGCTACTCATTCAGGCCTGCATTTAAAACAAGATCCCCGGCTGATTGTGGATGCAGTAAAGTTTGAGAAGCACTGCAAAGGAAAACTCAGACGGGCTATGCTAGGAAAGCAGGTATTACCTGAGTATACAGTATATGTAGAGGAGAAGAGGGAGGAAAGATTGGGGAAGTACACCAGGGCCAGGCAGTTGAAGGCCTCGGATCCTCTTCCAAAATATACCTCTAAGATGATATGTATATTCTAGCAACGCTGTCAGAGAGGAAATGCTTTAGACCCTCTCTCTATATGTTTGACCTCAAAAAAAAAAATAAGAAAATCCAATTCATTGCCCTTTATCAAAATGTTTTGGAACCCTATACGGGTTATTCACATTATCCAACTTAGTCATTCTCTTTATTCTTTGAATATACAACTGTTTTCAGACATTCAATTAACTCCTAAAGAATAAATATTTACTATAACTAGAGATATTCAGAGAAAGGTACTAAGGGCTCTATTGACAATCTGAAAAACATATTTTCAGCATTAGTGGAGGGTATAGCCTTGCTAGGTAACTATTGTAAAGAACACAACTATTGTAAAAAACACGGCCAGGCGCCATGGCTGAAGTCTGTAATCCCAGCACTTTGGGAGGCTGAGGCGGGCGGATCACGAGGTCAGGAGATCAAGACCATCCTGGCTGACATGGTGAAACCCCGTCTCTACTAAAAATACAAAAAAAATAGCCGGGCGAGGTGGCCGGCGCCTGTAGTCCCAGCTACTAGGGAGGCTGAGGCAGGAGAATGGCGTGAACCCGGGAGGAGGAGCTTGCAGTGAGCAGAGATCATGCCACTGCACTCCAGCCTGGGCGACAGACCAAGATTCCGTCTCAAAAAAAGTAATTTAAAAAAAAAAAAAGATAGACGGGAAGCCGAGGCCTTAGTTCTCTTTCTCATCTTGTAAGATGGCAGGTGAAAAAGTCAAGAAGCCAGATACTGAAGAGAAGAAACCCTGGCCGGGCGCGGTGGCTCAAGCCTGTAATCCCAGCACTTTGGGAGGCCGAGACGGGCGGATCACGAGGTCAGGAGATCGAGACCATCCTGGCTAACACGGTGAAACCCCGTCCCTACTAAAAATAGCCGGGCGTAGTGGCGGGCGCCTGTAGTCCCAGCTACTCGGGAGGCTGAGGCAGGAGAATGGCGTAAACCTGGGAGGCGGAGCTTGCAGTGAGCCGAGATCTGGCCACTGCACTCCACCCTGGGCGACAGAGCAAGACTCCGTCTCAAAAAAAAAAAAAAAAAAAAAAAAAAAGAGAAGAAACCCAAAGCTGAGAAGGCTGATGCTGGTGGCAAGGTGAAAAAGGGTAACCTCAAGGCTAAGAAGCCCAAGAAGGGGAAGCCCCATTGCAGCTGCAACCCTGTCCTTGTCAGAGGAATTGGCAGGTATTCCCGATCTGCCATGTATTCCAGAAAGGTCATGTAGGAGAGGAAGCACTCAGTCGCTAAATCCAAGGTTGAAAAGAAAAAAGAGAAAGTTCTTGCAACTCTTACAAAACCAGTTGGTGGTGACAAGAACAGCGGTACTCGGGTGATTAAACTTCGCAAAATGCCTAGATATTATTCTACTGAAGATGTGCCTGGAAAGCTGTTGAGCCACGGCAAAAAACCCTTCAGTCCGCACATGAGAAAACTGCGAGCCAGCATTTCCCCCGGGACTATTCTGATCATCCTCACGGGACGCCACGGGGGCAAGAGGGTGGTTTTCCTGAAGCAGCTGGCTAGTGGCTTGTTACTTGTGACTGGACCTCTGGTCCTCAATCAAGTTCCTCTACGAAGAACACACCAGAAATTTGTCATTGCCACCTCAACGAAAATCGGTATCAGCAATGTCAAAATCCCAAAACATCTTACTGATGCTTACTTCAAGAAGCAGGAGCTGTGGAAGCCCAGACACCAGGAAGGTGAGATCTTCGACACAGAAACAGAAATACGAGATTACAGACCAGCGCAAGATTGATCAGAAACCTGTGGACTCAAAAATTTTACCAAAAATCAAAGCTATTCCTGAGCTCCAGGGCTACCTGCAATCTGTGTTTGCCATGATGAATGGAATTTACCCTCACAAATTGGGGTTCTAAATGTCTTAAGAACCTCATTAAATAGCTAACTACAAAAAAAAAAAAAAAGAACACAATATTTATCTGTATGTCAAGGCTCAGGTGTGTATACAGTCATGCCCCCATATCCATGGGGAATTTCTTCCAGGACCCCTGTGAATACCAAATCTGAAGATGCTCAAGTCCTTGATATAAAATGGATTAATATTTGCATATAACATATGCACATCCTCCCATATACTTTAAATCATCTCTAGACTATTTATAATACACAATACAATGTAAATGCTAGGTATATAGTTGTTATATCATTTTTTATTCATATCATTTTTATTGTAGTGGTTTTTTTTTCCAAATATTTCTAATTTGCACTTGCTTGAATCCACAGATATGGAACTCGTGGATATGGAGGGTTTATTGTACACAAAAGTCGGGTTCCTTAGTTAAGATAAATTTACTCTAGTACTTCCTGATTAAAGGATGTAATCCAATTCTATATGGTTAATTGTTCTGAAAGGCATTATTTTTAGAAGGGCTTTGGTCTATGTATAGTATGAAAATACATATGCAAACATAAATGTGTTTATGTGTGTGTTTCAGTAATATGAAAATGTTAGTAGTTTTCTCTGGTACAAGATTAGATTATGGGTAATTTTTTACTAGAGCACATCTATGTTTTCTATATTAGGCATGTGTAACTTATATAATAAAATGTTATTTTCTTTCAAGAAGAAAATGGTGTTAAAAGCGAATACAATAAACTTCCATTTTACATAAGAAAACAAAACCAACAGAGGTTCTGAGCAAGAAGCTCCCAGCACTGAAGAGGGCCTCCATGTCATCCCACCCTGCCCCAGGGCTTCCTTGTGCTCCAAGTCTATGACTGGCCTGTTGCTCTGAGATGCTTTAAGGCACTGCAGAGCATAGAGAAAAGATGAGCGTGTCTGGAATCAAGTGGCATACACCCCTGTTCTCCCCCTTCCTAGCTTTGTTTCCTTAGACAAGAAACTATTTTGCCTCTTTGCCTTCACCTGTAAAATGGTAATACCTACAGCTCTCATAAGATTTTGTGAATCTTAAACCAGTGCCAGTCATCAAACATTATTCAAGTGGGAATTCCTATCATTAATTTTTAGGAGCAAAAACTAGAAGCAATAAATTATCAACTCATCACTATTTTTACATTCAAATGACTGAGACTGTAAGCTCCTGGAAGGCAGAGACCACACATTTATATAGCAGCTAGACAGACATCATATGCAGATATGTGCTTAATTCAAGTTTAGATGATGATAAAGGAATAGTATTCTAATTTTTAAAAATTAGCTCAGGGCTGGGCACTGTGGCTCATGCCTGTAATCCCATCACTTTGGGAGGCCAAAGTGGCAGGATCACCAGAAGCCAGGAGTTCAAGACCAGCCTGGGCAACATAGGGAGAGCCCATCTCTAAGAAAAAATTTAAAAAGTAGCTGGGCATGGTGGCGCATGCCTGTAGCTCCAGCTACTCAGGAGACTGAGCAAGGAGGACTGCCTGAGCCTGGGAGGTTGAAGTTGCAGTGGGCTATGATAGTGCCACTGCACTCCAACCCTGGCAACAGAGTGAGACCATGCCTCAAAACAACAACAACGACAACAACAAATAGCTTAAAATGTTCTCATTTGTCGCATATTAAATATACCTTCCAGAAATAGGGTTGCCAGATAAAATACAGGATGCCTGGTTAAATTTGAATTTCAGATCAACAATGGATACTTTTTTTGGTATAAGTATGTCCCATGCAAATCATGTGTTGTTTATCTGAAATTCAAATTTAACTCGACATTCTGTAGTTTTGTTTGTTAAACCTGGCAACCTTATGCAGAAAAGGAGTTGATAAAAATTTTGTTTTAGAATTGAACACTAACATTTTCTTGGATGACGAATATTTAACATATACCATGTGGAAATATCATATTTAGGAATTCCAATGGTTAATATAATTGGCATTAAAAATGATTTACTTAAAAAGCTGATGGGCCTAAATACGTGTGTTAACCTTACTAGTTTCGTGTGTAAAATAAGGATAATAGTATTTAATATGGGAGGGGAGGCTGAGATTTACCTGAGATTACATGTGACAATGTTCTTTGTAAATAGATCCAAAAAAGAATCTCAGTGGAGCATGGGCTTTACTGTCTGACACACCTGCATTTGCATTCCAGTGTTGCCATTTACTAGTGAAATGACTTTGGAAAGGGCTGCTTAACCTCTCTATACCTCATTATCTCATCCATAATGAAGAAGTAGTAATGCAGCTGATAACATACAATTGTTATGAGGAGCAGAAAATACACATATAGTGCATAGTGCACAATAAAGCATTTCCTAAATGTTAGATTGCATTAAAAATCTAGAAAAAAAAGTCCCTTTCTAGAAAATCACTAACATATGGTAACAGGAAATTATGGCCCTAACTGCAAGTATAATAAACTCTTCCTTTGTCTAAGTGTTTCTTACAATAGGGGATGTTTTGCACCTGTGCTATTAGATGCTCACAAGATGTTGTTGAAGGAATGAATTAATACAAGAATGAATCTCTTACTCCATACCAAAAATGGTCACTGTCTTTGTATTCTGAATATGTCGTTACAGACTTTCATGTAAAAGGAGAAATTCTCTGAATGTTTAAATCAGTTGAGATCCTTCTTGTTTTAATATCATGGAGAACATTAATATTGTCGTTAGAAAAATTATAGATGCTTTCATTTTAGAAATCAGCCTGGCAGGGCAATACTGGTAGATATGTAGCCACAATCCCTACTAATACAGAGCCCTCTGTGTATTCCTTCTACTGAAAGAAACCTAAATAAATTATTAAGCATGAGTGATTCAACTGTTAGGTCAGGATTTCAGACCCATGGGCTGAGCTCATTGAGATGTTAGGAACGGTAATGGGCTTGTTCATCTCTGAAGGGGATTCATGGGTCAGGTTCAAAAGCAAAGATTATCTACTGAAAGGCCACACGCCCTTGTTTATTTCCAGTGAATCAGAACAGCCCATTGTCATTGCTCTTACTATACTGGAAGGTTCTACGTTCATCAGTGGCTGATGAGTATGTATGTTAAAGGCAACATAAGGAGAGTCAAACAGCCCGGGCAAGATCAGGAGACCCTGTCTTTACAAAAAAAATTTTAAAAATTAGCTGAGAGTAGTGGCACAGGCCTGTAGTCCCAGGTACATAGGAGACTGAGGCAGGAGGATGACTTGAGCCCAGGAGTTTGAAGTTACAGTGAGCACCATAGCACTCCATCCAGCCTGGGCGACAGAGTGAGACCTCATCTCAGGAAACATAATAATAAATAAATAAGTAAATAAATAAATAAATAAAGACAACACCCATGAACATATGCACTCAAATTTCTTCTTTGGAATTATCCAGGTTTTTCTGTTGCTTTATGTAGACAAGGAGTGTCTTAGATCACAGGCCACCTATGTGATCTAAGGTTCAAATTTATTTGATTAAGAAGGCAATCAGTGGCCATTTGTTCCAGTAATTGTGTTGCCACTTCTTAACCCTATCATCTTAAATTTCGTTTTTTACAAAGTAAATTTCACCAGTTAGACATAGAGTCGTGCTGTACTAAAATTGCCAAGTCTTGGGTTTTTTTTTTTTTTTTTTTTTTTTTTTTTGGAGCTTTTTAGTTCAGATGGAAGAGAGAGTTATGGTCTCTAACTCCCTGTCTATGGCCAGCTCTGCCATGGATGGCACTATGCCCTCTTAAATTCCCATTTTCTCCATCCACTCACGTGTTGCTGAACAGCTTTGCCAGGATTTCATACAGGGAAGCCTTTATGCCATACATACAGCCTTTTCAGATGTCACCTCGAAATCATCTTCATCAGCCTTGAATACTTGGATCCCTAGAGGGGTTCCTGGCACCCCAAACAGCAGAGGCCCTGTGTGTGAGCTTGAGGCATGAAGCCACAGAGGCAACAGTACCCTCTGGTTGAAATGGGTTTTCAATAACGCGTGTGTCACTGAGCTGCTGCTTCTCCACTCCGTTCAGTGAAGGGAAACTTCAAAATATTTGGGGTATACAGGATTCAAAATGCATGTTGAACAGAGGGACTCATGCATCATTTAGAGTTTTCCTGTGCTTAAGGAGACATATGGCGGTCGTTTTTTCTAATGTAAATATCAGAACCCTTGGCTACATTTGTCGAAGCACAAGGACATAATATTTGAAATCAAAATGATCTTAGAAAAGCCTGTGTATATGGTAAGCATATCTCTCAGGAGTTTCCAGACCACCAATCTTTCTTTGCTTCGGGATCCCCTTGGAAGTCAGTTCTCTCTGCCTTTTTTCCCAAAACACTCTTAGTTTTTCTAGTCTCTTTTCAGTGTTTGATGTTGACAGAAGTTATTTCTTTACTGAATTATTTGCCTATTACCCAGGTCACTGGCAAAACCATCAAAACATTACTTTCCTTCATGCCCCCGGAAACCTCATTAGTTGAAAACCGTGTGTGATTCCTAAACATAAATGTGGCTAAAGTGCCATCTAACTCGAGAATTAGCTGTCTGCCCCTCACTCAGTGCTGACTGTCTACTTCCACCCCAAACTTATTTCTGCTCAGGAATGGTAATAGCAATGACGATAATGATAACTGACATTTAGCCAGGGCTTCCTAAATCTCGGGGCCTTATTACTCATTTACATACCCACATAACTTCCTTTAACCCTCACCTGGGAATTTTGAGAGCTTCCCTGAGGATAACATTTAAAAGTTAAAATGAAACCTTGTTTTAATATTAAAAGCAATACTTAGGATTATATCAGACCACTAACATCAGAAAACATGGATAGCCAAAACGAAAGAAAGTGATAAAAGCACCCATGGTACGATCACAAGACAGCCTGGGTGTTCTTGGAAATTCTGCCGTTTAACAGGATTTCAACAACAACAAGCACAGCGTTATAAGGCAGAATCTTGTACCCCAGCGAAGGTCCAAGGGAAGTGGGACCTTTGTTCCTCCAGGACAGAGTTGTGAGGAGGCGCTTTCCCATGCAGCGTGAGTTTGAGGTACCAGTCAGTCTTCCACTGCCCAGCCTTCCTCACTGAAACCAAACATCGTAGCCCTTTGCCTCAGCCCTCCATCCCCTGCACTCTTCCTTGCCCCCCATAAATACCTGGGAAGTTGGGGAGAAGGGGTGGCTCCCAAATAGCTACTTAAGAGGGATCTAGGTTTGGCAGACAAATGCAGCTCTGGTTGCTGGGGGACATGTCTGGAAACCACATTCACATAGAAAGCATACTGCTTTTACTTAGACAGTATGTTTAAATAAACATACACAGCACATGTTGGATGCTGATGGAGACTGCGGTGGGGCAAAAATCCTCCTAAGATAACCCTTGACATTGGACTGTGGTTGATCTCACCAAGGAGAGAAACTTTGTATCAGATTGTGCCCCAATAGAATGTCCCTGCCTAGAAAGAAAGGGCAGCCTTGGGTGGGCAGGGGGCTGGAGACAGAAGGGGCAGAACAAGGGGCCCCTGACAATGACTCTAGGTTATCCATTTGCCTGGGCTGGTTCCCTCAGGACCCAGGCTGCAGCAAACAGCTTGCTTTCTTTGTCCTCATTGAATTAGAAGGAAGTCAAGGAAGCCTGCATGACTGTAAGTCAGGGAAATGTGAGCCACTTTTAAAAGCTTGCAACATCGAACTTTCCCATTGGAATAGAGCCAAGCCAGGGCAGATGTGTCAAAGTCTGCTTTTGGCTCCCTTGCTTGCTCACTCCAGGAAGGGGGAGGATGAAAGCAGAGACGGGAGAGCAGAAAGGTGTACATATAGTCAGTAAAGCTGCATAGGGTCCTAGGAAGGGAGAAGTACAGGTCAAAGGTCCCACTTATTGGCCATCACAGTCTGTGAAAACAAAAAGCAAAAACTGAAAAGCAAACAGCTCTCTGCACAGGAATAAAAGAGGAGGGAGGAGGACTTAGTGGAAAGTCAGGGCTGCCTAGAGGCATAACAAATAATCACAGGCTGGAAAAGTACAGTGGAGGGGAAAAGGAGGGCTAGGCAGATTCCTCAGCAGGGCTTTGGGCTATTTTCTTTGGCACCCTATCAATTATGTTACTGTGGCCTCTTTGAATTTGGTCATCTAATGCTCTAAATAAATACACTGTCCACAGTTTTACAGTCTTGGATTGGGGAGAATGTTCTAAGTCTAACAGGAGGCCCAGAGTCCATAAAGGAAAGGTTGACAGATTGGAATGATTACAAAGTCAAAACTTCTTTTTGGCAAAAACCAGCTCACAAGAACAAATTTAAAAGCCAAATGAGGACTGTGGGAAAATATTTGCAACACTGATAAAAGACAAAGAGTTAACATCCATTATACCTAAAATACTCCTATAAAACAATATCAAAAGACCAAAGTCAGAAGGAGGGAGATTAAAATGAACAAATATGAAGAGGCATTTTAGAGAGAAAATTACAAATGATCAATAATATTTGAAAAATGCTCAAACTAACAATTATGTAATCCATAATACAGAAAAGTTTTTATTAAATTGGCAAAATTTAATAAAACCTTGATGACATATAGTGTTTTTAAGTGGATAAGGAGGTAAACCCCTTCATATTTTGTTAATGTGTGATTTCTGTAATGTGTAAATTGGTATGACATTTTTGAAAGACAGTTTGGCAGAATTTTTCAAATTTAAAATAAAGACATTCTACAGCCCAGAAGTACTACTTACAGAATTTATTTTAGAAAAGTACTGGGTCTACTGGGAAAGGGACGTGTGTGTGTGTGTGTGTGTGTGTGTGTACACTGTAACACTGTTATAACAGCAAAAAATTGGAGACAATGCAAATACCATCAACAGGAAAATGGATCAATAATTTATGTAACATCCATACCAGGCAATAAAACAAAATGACCAAAAAAATGAGATGTATCTACATGCACTGATGTGGTGCTATGTTAAATGAATAAAAAGCCGTAACACCCCTTGGGGCTCTGCGGTTGCTGGCATCTCTGAGTTTTTGGGCACTGCCACATCCCCCCTTGTCCAGATGCCAGTGCCCAAGAAGGAAGCCTGTCACGGCATGCCCGGACCAGCTACTGAGTGCAGAGCATGGTAGGCACAGGATCTGGGCCAGTAGTGTGAGCTGAGAGCAGCCTGCTGGGTTAAGTGAGCAGAGTGAGCCCAGTGGGCCTGAGTGAAGTCCGGGCAGAGGCGCTGATGGCTACGGAGATTTCTGGCTGGCTAAATGGCACCAAAAGGATCCTGTGCCACATATAGCATATATGTGCATATAGGTAAGCATGTATAGCATATCCTATTTTTACAAAAATTAAAGCAAATATCTATATATGTACACTTGTATCTACACTGAGAAAAGTATATACAAAGAAAACCTACACACACACTCAAACTGTTTGACGTGGTTAAATGTAAGGGGATGAGGCAACTGACTAACCAAAAATCATTTTTCATTTGTTATATTTCTTTCTTGTTTGAATTTGTTATAGCGTATATCACTCTTAACGTTAAAAAGCACAATAAAAAGATGTAAACCGACATGCATACATTCATATTATTCTCCTACTGTAAACAGCAAAGAAATTGTAGCATAAGAGTGTGGTGCACAGAACAACACCCTTTCCTACTCCGTCAAGATTACTGACTGGTGATCACGTAATTTTGGAGACAGCTCTAAACTGACAGCCAAAGGACTTGGACTGTAATACTCTTGGGGCTGTAATACTGAGTATTTCAGTAGAATCTATGAAGCGATATTCACCATTCTCCTACCTCAGTATTTATAAAACAAAAGAGTCACTTTCTTTAGAATTCCTACTCATTAGAGTCATTATGAGGATTAAATGAGTTATCATTAGAGTGTAAAGTGGCTGGCACACAGCAAGTGCTATGTTGGTTTTATTATTATTAAAGTAGTAAGTGTCCCTTTCTCTCCCACCTCTATTGTGAGAGGAGGTAAAAGTCAACTGATTTCCTGACTTTCCAAAGGCGGAGGTCTTTAAGGACTTCTCTAGTGAAATGTGGGCACATGGCAGATGGTACAAAGGGGAGACTGGCATCTCCTTCCTCCTGGAGGGTTGCAGGGGCCTGTGGCCCCACCATGGGGTTCCTGGAGCAGAGAGAAGGGTCTGGGGGAAAGTCAAGGAAGGGTATTGAATGTCCAAAGGGCAAGGATCACTCTCCTGGTTTCTCATGGAATCAAGTCAAGGGTGGCAGAGACTCTTGGGATTCCCATGAACCTAGACCTGACTGTAGAAGGAAAAAACACAAGGGCCTGCTGGCCATTCCATGGGATTGCCAATTGAAGCAACAAATAGTTGGGCAGGAAGGTACAAGGGAAGAAGTAAACAATGGCACTGACCACTGGGCTTCCCAATATGGTGAGCACAAGCTGGACATCTGTCCATGATGAAGTTACCTCTGGCTACCCTGTGTGAGAGCCTGGCAGACGATGACATGAGCTGCGGGAGACCCTGGTTTAACCAAGGGATCATCATTCTAATAAGCTTCTTTCCAAGCTCTGCAGGAAAGGGTTAAAACTAGAGGGTGGAGAATAGGGAAAGATCCTTGAGATAAGGACGCTCTGGGGTTAAAATGATAAACTAGAGTTTATAAAAACTCAATTGAACTAAAAATATCACTGTCCTAGACTAAGTTTATACTGGAATGAGAAAGAAGATAAGGTATCTGTTCCAGAAAGATTGTGTAGTGTGTGTATGTGTGTGATAGGAAAAAGGCATGAAGAAGAAGAGGGAAAAGACCAGGAAAGGTTATGTAGTATGAAAATAATGCAGGCTCTATGCTTGCACAGATTTCCCATCTGCTGTACATCTTCTTTCCTCTCTTTGTTCCTCAGGAAACTTTCCTGTCCCCTTTCACGGAGTTATAATGATGGAAGAGGTTCAGGAGAAAGGAATCCGCTCCTTGCAAGTTAAAAAGAGTTAAGAAGGTTTTTTGTTGTTGTCATTGTTTGCTTTTAAATACTTTAATTTTAAAACAATATACTGGGAAGAACATTGCAAATGGAATTCAGGAGATCAAAGAAACCTGGGATAAATATCGCAAATTCTCTCAGGCTCAATTTCCTACTCTATAAAGTCTGGTATTTGGTAGCATTAGATGACCTCTAAGACTTCCTCCATTTTACTTACATTGTAATTTCTGCTCTACTTAATGAACTGGAAGGTACCTTAGGATCCGTCAAAACCCTGAATCAATATAAGAACATTCTCTGGGACAATTCACAAAGTGTGTTACATTTTATGAATAAATGTTTTTAATGCCTTAGTATAAATTGGTACTTTTTTTAATATAAAGGAATTGTGGACCAAAAGAGTGGTTTTCTTTGGCATGTTACTAAAATTGAGTTCCATCAGTTTTGTGTGCGAGTACATTATTTATCCACCGAAAAACTCCAAACTGGGGCTACAAGCAGAGTTTCTCAGAAGTTCCTTGTAGAGAAGTGTAAGGGCTAAGCCATTGCTACACCTTTGCCAGGTGATGTTCAAGGATAAACCAGGGATGTTCAAGGATAAATGCTATTAGGGTTGGGGGGTTATGCTAGTGGCAACAATAGAGACACCCCTAAACTGCAGGGGCTCAATAACTGCAAAATTTTGTTTCTTGCTCATGTGAAGTCACGTGCGTCAGCAGAGCTCTCTACTATCCAGTGACTCAGGGGTCAAGGCTCTCTCCATCTTGTCTGCCAGCACCTCAACATGTGACTTCAAGTTCTTCTGATCAGGAGGAAGAAGGATAAGGGAGACACAACAACAGTTAGGAACCTAGGACCAGAAGTGCCATATCACTTCTGCTCTCATTCCTATCTGCCAGAACTCTGTCACATGGTCCCAACCCAGCTGAAAGGACCTGGAAAATGCAGGAAAGCACATGTCTATTCAGTGGGCATGAGTTGTCTCTGGATGAATTGATGTAATCAGGGACATAAAGCCACCAAGTGAGAGCAATTCTCTACCTTGTGTGTTTGGAATAAATGACCAAAAGCCTTGGTTTTTAATCTGTGGCTTCTTTAAACTCTTTTCATTCTAAAAAACATTTAGTTTTGAAAAACTGAGGGAACTTTGCTAGGAAGTGGGTCTTCTAAACTCTTCTTCATCACATCTGGAGAGGGGGTTGCCTTTAAATGGCTGCATCACACTGTTGATTCATCATAAACTTTAAGCCAACAAAAATCCTGATTTAATTGTTGGGAGAAATTGCTGCCAAGCCAGGCCTTCAGATCCTGTAACTGTACCATTCATTTTGTTTTAAACCCAAAAGCAAGACTTTATATTTATTCTAAGTGTCATCCTGTTATTTTCAGACAATTGCTTCAGCCTTCTGAATTTTTAATTCTGTCATCTATTGTAATATTTGTTTCTTCAATATTTGCATCATACACCAATTTGATGAGCATATCTTCTGTGTCTACATCCAAGTTCTTGAAAAAATAGGCCAAGGGCAGAGCCCTCCAGTAGAACCCAGAGACCTCCCTTGAGAGGCATCACAATTCATTAATAAACACAGTGGGTTTATTTGTTCCACTAGCTTCAAATCCTCCTTACCTTATTATCAACCAGTTCACATTTCTCCAATTTCTCAAGGACTTTTAAGATTTCATAGCACATCTAGACGAAAACCGAACTCGTTATCTCCCTTCCTAAGCCCCTCCTTCTCCTGAATTATCTACCCGTTAATGGCACCACCATTCAGTCTACTGTGCCAGCAATCTGGGAGCAATCCCACAATCTCTCTCCTTTCTCTCCCTGAGGAGTGAATTTGAGTCAGTCCTGACACTTCTCAACGGGGGCTGCTATCCCCTCAAGTCTGTACCACTGCTTCCAAGCTTTTCTATGGGTCTCTGGGCATTCCTCCTCCAGTCTATCCTCTTAATCTTCACTCAGTGATCTTTCAAAATACAAGTCACATCATATTACACCCCCTGATGAAAACCCATCGAAACTCTCCAGTGTAAGGAAAATGTTAAAAATATTAACATGTAGTTTGGCATAGGCAATGACCAAACAGAAGGCCAGCAGGGCTACTCCAGATGGAAAGCAGGGCACCTTCTATTCTCAGATCCTAAATGTTTCTAGGTGGCACCCTTCCATCTCCTCAGCCTCCATGCAGAGGTTTCAGCAGACCCGACATTTGCATCTCAGCACTTTAGCTCTGCTTTCTCAACTTTCTCAAAGCTCCTCCCTCAATGCAGAAAGGCTCTTTCTCCTCTGAGGCAGGAAAGCATTTTATACATTCAACCCCATGCCCTGGTTTTTGGTAGAAACTGGTCAGTCTTTCGGGGTTTATTCTACTGAGGCAGAGCCAAGGTTTTAGAATTTGAAAATAAATGAAATAAATAAATAAAATAAATGAAATGAAGTAAAATAAATAAAACAGAAGATAAGCTCCACTCCCTCTCCCCCAAAGGCCAGGCGCTTAGAAATTAAAGCTTTCCAGGCTTTCTTTTTATATTCTCAGCCAGTAATTTGACTCTGTTCTGGCTGGATTCTTTCGTGTCTTTTCTTCTCTGAGGCAATCAGCCTAAGTTTCTCTGCCTGGTTAAATGGTGAAAAGACCACAAAGTAAAAAGATTTTCCGAGAAAGAAGGGGACTTCTCATAGTATTTCAAAATATCATCTCAATTCTTTGTTATTCCATGCACCTACACTACAAAATTCAGCTCATGTAGGCAGGGACCACTATTTAATCTCTGTGTTTCCAGTGCCTGGGACATATTAGATGCTCATGAAATATTTCTGACCGAATGACTAAACCAATGAAAAAAGATAGACTGTATCGACAGCAGGTTGCTAATCTACCAGTATGCTAATATCATAAAAAAGGGAATAGAGTGATTGGGCTTAGTTCATCTGTTGATGGTTGGCTCACATTGCAGAAGTAGAAAAATATATTGCTTCTTTTGAACGCTGCGGAGATTTTAAGACCACATCTGTGACAGTTTTTGTAAGGAAAAAAAGGGTGGATGCACAAAAAGAAAATTTAGTAACATATTTGCAGATAATGGATAATCCCTGTGTACTAAGGATACTTAATTCTTCAAATAGAAAAGATTCACTTTGCTGCCCTCTAACCTTATACATGCTTTCTCTCATTATAATGGTAATTAATACAATTTTATAAAACTAAATCAGTGGTTTTGTCTGGATTCGTCTTTTCAAAGCCTGTTCAACTTATTGGACTTCCCAGTGCATAACTGGCTTTAATAATGAGTATATTAACATAACAAAAATAAACTCATATTTTCCAGGTGCTAAGTATTAGCCCTTCTTAATTATTTCTAAAAGGACCTTTTTTTTTTCTCCTTCACATGATTCCTTCTTCCTTTATGTGACATTTCAAAATAAATTATCATTGACCTTCCATGGTCCTTAACAGATTTCAGTGGCTTTGTGACATTGATCTCTTCCCACAGCTGGTGCCCCCTCTGTGGAATGCAGGTGAAAGCCAATATTGCTGTGCTCTTAGAAGCAGCATTATAAAGAGGAAGTAAGTGCGTGGATTCTGAACCCAGAGAACCTGGTTTGAATTACTCTACTAGTCACTCTGGGGAATTGCTTATTGCTCAGAATATGTACAATGAGCCTAATATGCGCGATTATAATAGTTAAATAAGACATTACATAAGGGGACTGGTATAATTTATAACAACAATTAATATTACACCAAATCTATGGATTAAGCAAGTGACTTGCTACCTGGATCCCGTTGATCTCACTGGAAATGAGAGTCAGGTCAGAAAGTGGGTGTGAAAATGGCCTACCACACTAGCTGTCCAGATTGCCAAGGCTGATTCAGCTAACCTGGCCAGCTGGGACAGTGTCCTTCTCCCTTCTCTGCTCTGAGTGCTTTGCTCAATAAGTAACAGCGTGGCCGGGCGCGGGGGCTCATGCCTGTAATCCCAGCACTTCGGGAGGCCGAGGCGGGCGGGTCACAAGATCAGGAGATCGAGACCATCCCGGCGAACACAGTGAAACCTTGTCTCTACAAAAAATACAAAAAAATTAGCCGGGCGTGGTGGCGGGCGCCTGTAGTTCCAGCTACTCGGGCGGCTGAGGCAGGAGAATGGCGTGAACCCGGGAGGCGGAGCTTGCAGTGAGCCGAGATGCGGCCACTGCACTCCAGCCTGGGAAACAGAGCGCGAGATCCATAATCAAAAAAAAAAAAAAAAAAAAAGGTCACCGCGTTTGCAGACAGAAGAGGCCACACTGCCTACCCCAACCCCCAGCAGTTTTGCTTTCCAGTAAAATGGGTCCACAGGCTCTTAAGTTCTATTAGCGGGTCAGGAAGCCTCTTGCTCCCCCCATCTCCAAGCACTGGGTCATCACACAACCAGACAACTTATTAAAAGTACAGGAGGACAAGATTTTCTTAATGTATTGCATGGCTACTGTATCAGCACGCACGCTCTCCCTCTCTCTCTCTCTCTCTCTCTGTGTGTGAACAACTAAATATAGTGAGTTTTCTTTATCTCTTGGTTTCATTTTTATATCCAGTTCTTGAAAAGGCACTTTACTCATTTTTAGTTCAAAAAAAATTAGGCCCACTTTTCCAAGCTGTTTTCAATTATGTTACTCCACCCACTCTCCATGTTTTTTCCTGGGCCCTCATTTACCCCCTGAAGGATTTACAGGGCAGCCCTCTGCTCTTTCTCAGCCACTGTGGTCATGCTGCCACCACACACCTGATCTCATCTCCAGGGAGCCTGCTGGTTCAGATTCAGAGACTGTGCCAATTAGAATAGGAAAGTTCCTCTTCCTTCCCAGCCCTTATTCCCAAATATTAGTTGATATATGAATATCAGCCAACAGATGCTATTTTTCAAGAATCACTATGTTTCTTCATAGATTTAAATCAATTGAAATCTGCCCTGGCTCCTCCTCCATCAAGACTGGTGGAAAATATAATTTCAGTCCTCACTGGGACTCCCCACCTCCAAGGACTGTGCAAAAAACTTATGTATTGTCAGAACATCAGGTTGGTTCTTCTGGTCATGCGTTATGGTCCTACTGAGATGCCTGTTGCTACAGTCCAGTCGGGGCCATCAGCCCCAGCAGCCAACCTGAGGGCACTGGATTCTAGGACCAGCCTTAGGTGCCCTCTGCAATCATCCTTAGGGTCTCTTCTCTTTGTCAGGGTTGGCCACAGAGCAGTATGTGGATCCCTAATATTAGGGAAATGCTCTCACGTTCATCTCCTTACACGGTCTCTGGAAATCTCTGCCTTCTTTTTCTGCTGGACTTGAAAGTCATTATCTTTTCCCCCTTTCCACTCTGGGGCACCTGACACAATTTCTTTAAAGGATTTACACCTTGGCACAAGATAGAAAAGGTCATTGATATCGAGTTTTCTGTCAGGTATTAGGATGTTTGAAATAAGAGGAAGGAAAAAGACAAAGAGTAAATTATTTGCTCAAATATTATCCTGTTTGCTCTTTCTAGAATGAGTAAACTCTACTTAGGAGAAGCACCCCAGGGGATCCCTGGCAGTGGGGAGAAATGTAGTGTGGCACAAAGACATCTGTGGAGCAGCTGGGGGCGGCAGGGGCTGCAACAGACCTGAGGATGGTGAGAGTCTTTGCTATAGTATGTGTGTGATTTCCCGGGTCTCCCAGGGTGATGCCCCAGTGAGGCATTTGGATTCTAATTTTACATCGCTACACTAGTATTTCTTCATTTGTACCTTTCTTGTTTCGTGCCTCTTTTTCACTTATTGTACTTTTCTTCTTTGTCTTTTCCCAACATAATTTCAGGTTGTGCTCGTGGAAAGTATAGCTACTGTAAAGTTAGATACTGTTTGTCAAGGTACCAGATGCTATGAAGGCCTGATTGCTGGGTGATTAGTCACTGGGCTAACTTAATAAGGAGAGTAGCCCACAGCTCAGTCATTGTAATATTCAGATGACTATATCAGATCAAATGTGATTTGACGTTTGAGCAATCGCTCTGCAAGTCTCTGAGCTGGTGTAATGCATGTCTCTTTAATTATGGAGTCAGAAGGAACATTAGCTCTTTGCTACAACTTCAGTTTCTCATACTTTTTGCATGATTTCCACCTTCCTGTCTTCTTTCAACTGGTAGCAAATATGAATTTATGGGCTACTCTTTTCCATTTCACTGATTTTATATATTTATGCCCATGTTTATAAACATTTAAGCTTATGAATGCTGTTTATTATATTTCTATTATCCACTTTC